AAGAGCCTGTTGCATGGAGGAAGATGTGACAGTTCCCAGGAGGCTCTGTGATTGCATCAAAGCAGTTAATTGCTAGTCAAGGTTAATGCTTGAAGTAGAGGAACAGCTAAAGTAAGAAGATTCTCATATAGAAACTTTAGATGAAAGAATGTTGAAAGAAAATGTCATAATCAGAAGGCAGGTGTAACTTCATATGCAACAGCAGTTCCTGTTTGTTATCTAGTTCCAAGTAGTTGAATGTCAGGCAGATGAAATGTAACAAATCTAATATTTTAATATAATATGTATTGTTAGATCATTTAATACTAAGTTAAACAAATAGGATATATTGATTGAATACATTTTATTAGAAAAAAACATAAAATAGAAGTCTAAATTATGTTTAATATATAAAGTAGAATATGGATTATTATATGAAAGCAGTTTACAGCAAAAACTGAAATAATTTTGTAGATAGACTTCTTGATATCTGAGATCTAAACTGTTATGTACAAGAAAATGAATGCTTGTCTGTAGTTATTAATTTAAACTTGCTTTGTTTATTTAAACGGAATAGAATGATCTCTTAATGCAATAGACTCATTACTTGGACTTCTTCAAAGCTACTTTGAGCTGGAGTAAACAAAAGATGTCTGTAGTGTAACAGGTTGCAGTCAAGTACTTTCCTGAAATGTTACTATACATCTTAGTAGGGAACAAGTCATGTGGAATATAAAAATCAACTGTAGGCTGAATGTGATAAACAAGAATGATGCGTCTGTAGTGGTGTTACATCCAAAATTGGGCTGTTGTGTTCAGGGTTGATAGTATCACCCAAAAAGTTTTCTTCAGCAGTTGTCTGATGCATTTGCTGCATCGCATGCTAAAAACTCTCCATGCAGTACATAAAACAGCATTTTCCAGGAACTGAGCTTGTTTTACTTGAGTGAATAAATGACATTAGCTCATTGTTTTTAATATGGTGATGCAGATTTCCTGGTTTTTCAAGCTTTCAAAAAGTACTTCTCGTAGGACTGGTATCTAGTGTTTGAAAAAAATCTTTTAAGTGTGTGTTTATTTACTGCTTGGAAGTAGTTTTGTGCATGTGTTTTTGTAGTAAAGCAGTCTTTTGAAAAATTGAAACTGGTATCAACTGTAGTAGGAGGTAGAATAGAGATAGCCAAATGATCATTCTCATGCAACAAAATGCTTCACTAGAACATAAGTGTATCCTAAGAAATACAGTTACAGTGTCTTGGCTTTCCTGAATCTTTAATTGACCTGAATTGTCTTAAGCTTTGTACAAAAGAGTGCTGGAGAAATGCCAGTTTCCTCTTTCCTTGGGGCTTTGTTTATTGCAATGTGGTGAAATGAAGAGCAAGAAAATAGATGAGGCTAGGAACATGTGTAAGGAGACTTAACATTTGTTTTGTTGGAACAATTTTTTGAAAAAAAAAAAACCTGCACACTGTGCTTTTGAGTACCTAGACCCTTAAAGTCTTGCCTAGAATCTTACCTGTTTTTGCTGTTTACTATAGATTTAAAATGTAAATATAAACCCAGGTTTGTGTTGCCATATCAAATATTCAGCAGGGGTTTAGCAGAAAGTGTGGGCTACAGAACCTGTATGTGTCTAAGGTTATAAAAGAGATGTTATGTGACTTCATACTTGAGAGCAATTACATTTGTTTGCTGCAGGGATGATGGTCCAAGAAGGAAGCATAAGAATGACAAACACAGCAGATACTCCCTGCCTGCAGCACGGCATTCTTCACCAGATAAATGATGCTTTCACCAAGTAGTTCTTGAAGGGATTCCTTGGGCTACATTCCCTTTCCTAATTTCCAGACACCTGACACTAATTCAGAAACACTCTGGAGTGGTTTACTTACTTGGTTGAGAAGTGTGATTATATGACTCAAATGGACTGCTCCAGAGAAGAGGGGGAATGACCTTCTGGTATCACCTGTGGAAAAGGTTCTGAATTTCCTGTTGGTGGTTTTAGTTGGTAACCACAAATCCAGCTGAAGTGGGCTTTGAGTTCTTAAACTGGCAGTACTCTGGTATGATGGAACAAAAGAAAAAATAAATGTAAGATGACTCATAAGAAAAACAGCCTTTTCTGTTTCCAAATAGAAACCTCCGACTTGCTTAGTACAGTCTTGAATATAAAAATTAAATACTTTCTGATGTGGGGTTTACCTGCCACAAGATAAAATACTGCCCATTATGTGGGGGGAAAATCTCCTGAGTTTGTGTCATGAGGTAGCTGAGATGTTTTTAGAACCAGCTGTTCTTCTTCAAATGTGCAAACTGTTATGTTAGATTTAAAGTTAATTATCCTCATCTCACCAATAACAGGAGCTGTGTTGTCTTGTAGAGTAAACCTTTGAGTACTTATTTTATTAAGGAATAGTTAAACCTGAAAATAAACACTAAGAGTTTAAAACTCTTAACCTCTGTTCTGTATTTTAAAACCTGATGGAAGCACCAGGTAGTCTAACACTAACATAGGAAAGCTTGCCTTTAGAAAAGGCAAACAAATGGGAATGCAGTCAGCTTAGTAGGAAGACCTGTTATCTGTGTCTTTATTCAGTGTCTTAATTAATAGTACTTCCTCTGGCTTTTGTGGGAAGTTTCTATCTGTACTGACATCAGGACTAATGAAAGCTTCAAAGCTGTGCTTTTTCAGCGTATCTCATGTCACCAGTTCCTTTAGAGCCTGATCTTATATGTCTTGATCTCTCTAATTGTCTCCAGCTTTGCAGTTGGTTTCTCTAGCCTGCTCTACTCATCATACCTGATGTACTTAGTTTGGTACTGCCTTGCAAGAGGACTTGGGGAAACTGCTTGAGCCTTCCTCAAAATTTTCTTATTAATATCAAGTCTTTTCTGACTTAACAGGATTTGAGTGTCTGCAGAGATTGGGTATATAGAAATACTACATTTAGTCACCAGAGGGAGAGATCTTGCCTTGAGGAGGATTGCAGTGATGCCACTTGAGTTGGCTAATGCTGTGTCCACCTGTTTGCAGCTCAGCTGTTCTTGACTTAGTGTATTTGTGGAATTTCTTGTTAATATATACAATATTTAGAAATATACATGTATACAGTATAGGTTACCTGTAAAAATAGACAAGACTGCATTAAGGACATTTTTTCATAATAAGTCATTGCAATAGCACAAGGCATTCGTATGCTTTTGAACATGAGTGGATCCTTGCACTTTTTGGAGTGAACACTACATATGTGAAGATTGAGTCTATCGAGAAATGAGGCAGCCAGAGGGGCTTCTATATCTGGATAGCTGTCTGCTCAAACTGTTTAATTTTGCCTGAAATTTTAAAATTGGTTCCGTGATGCAGAAGGAAAACGTAGACTGGCTATTTCACAAAACTGTATCGGTTACCGAGTACTGAAACTGCTCTGTAAAGTTTGCTTAAAGTGCTAAATTTGTCAAAGACTTGTTGAAATGTATGATTCAAACAATTGTAATGAAATGTCCATGGTTTTCTCCATTTGATAATTGAAAACTTGTGTACAGACTGAAGAAAATTAATTTTGTTTAAACCAAGTCTAGTTAATTACAACACTGACAGTGTGTCAGCAGCCTATGTTAATATTATCTTTATAATGAAGGTCTCTGGTAATTGGTTGTCACCCAGCTATCTTGTAGGTAATGCTGGATTTATAACTGACTTGAGGCAGTGCTTTCTCTGAATCTCAATCTTTTTGAAATGGTCACACCTAATCATCATCTTGTTCTTATGTTGTACAAAGGGTAGCAGCTACATTCATTGTATATAGTAGAATGAGATAAATCTGCTTTCAAACTTATGTATGATGCCTTTTCAGTAACTAAAATTCAGTTTTAGATTTAATGTAGATTAGATTTCTAATGTAACTAGTAACATTAGATTTCTAATATAACTAAATGACAAAACTTGCTTAAAAAGTTAATGCATAATAACTCTGTATCTGAAGTCTTAAATAGGTTTATCATATTTAAAGAATCCTTTGTTTTGGTATGGTTATGGTTAAAGTATTTCAGTTTTGTGGTTATATCTTGGCAATTGTGAGTTTCATTTTGTGGATTGTTCTCTTTAATTCTCTTTATGGTGACATGCTTTTGAAGTCATATTTAGGTTGTATCTGTGATGTTATTCCTGC